ACGAGTACTCCAACTTTCATTTAGACTATGTTGGCTAATTCTCAACTGATCTTAAATTTAACAATCTACAAAGATTACATTGTTAACGACCGTGTAAAATTCATAACTTTTACATACATACTCCATTTTCGACTGTCTTTATATCGACAAACTCCTATTAACGAGATATTCGACTCTCGTTTAGATTGTTTTGGCTAAAATCAACCAATCTAAAATTTGATTTCTGTGTTAACATAACCTTCCTGAAAGTTTGAAAAATCATAACTTCCACATATGAAGTAAGATTTGGGTGTTCTCTATATGTACGCTCTTGGTATTACGATCTCTACAACTTTAGTTTAGAATACATAATCTATAAAGCAACCTATCTCTGATTCACTATTTACGACGCACTTTTGATGTATCGGGTTGAATGCGAAACTTCAAATAATCATAAATTCTTCATACGAAGTCGGATTTTAGCGTTCCTTATATCCCCGAAATCCTCATTACGACTACTTCAACTTTTATCAAGGCTATTTATCTTAATTAATATTTTATTTTAATATTTGTTTTAGCCCTATTTGTTAAGTTTTGCCTACTATTATACACACATAATATAAGCACATAAATCACATAGATTTAAACAATTCCCCTTTTTATTTATTCATCAAATGATTATAAGTGTTGACCAATATCGGTTACATATTCTGTTAAAGCCTAGCGAGAAACGTAGGTGTTACAAATTTCAATGCCATAAGAGCTAGAGTGAAGCTTATATGAACATCAAACAACATTCATAGTTTAAAATCTCTTAATGGTTTTTAACATTATAAATCCTCATCACAATGAATTTATAATAACTAAATAAGTATCTTAATCACTTTATTCAGCTTTAAATATCTTGATAAACCTTGTATTGCTAAATTCCATTCCTAAGTTATGGATCGATTTCTATCAATGTGATTCTAAGAACTTCCAATAATGCATATAAAAGGTAATGTACAAGTCATTAAAGCACCTTCATAATACATATATGGATATTAGGGTTAATATCACCTAATTCAATCAAATGAGATGGAATTTAACCATCCATTGATTAAATATAAACATCTTGATGATCTAGATCAACTCAAAACATCACTTAACTAGTGATATTTAGATTTCATCAAGGGTCTAGGGTTTGAGAATCCTAATCTCCATCAAATGTTGAATCAAGCTCTAAAATGCAACGAAGTGATGCACGGAACATATAATGCTTGATTTAACACTCAATAGCTACTAGAACTCCTTGAATATATTCAAATATAGGATTTGACTTCATCACTCAAAACACTAGATAATGAAATAAAGATATTAGAGAAATTCCTAACTTTTGGATTTTAAAACTATCAAATAAATGTTTGGGACCAAATTTCGCAATATAACTTTAAAAACATTTTGCAATATTTTATCTACACACCTATCCTATTTGTATGAGACTTGGATAGTGTTGTTGTTGCTCTAAATTATAAAAAAAATTGATACAAAATAACAACATTACCCTGATCTCATATAAATTGGGTAAGGGGAGGAGGGAACGTTAGAAACTGTAACACCCGATTCCTGATTTGGGTATTTGACGGATGTGTTTTCCAGATGGTTTATTAAAGGCTTTCATGTTTTGGAGATTTCTAAATGGTATCATTCAAGTTCCGATGATGTTTTTCACTATTTGATTGGGGGTTTTATAGTTCAAGGAAAGGTAGAAGCAAAGAATGATTAATAGCAAAAAAAGAAAAAAACAACTGAAAATCTGGAATCAAAAGAGACGCGGGGCGCCCTTTAAATGATGTGGCACGCCTTTGGCGTATTGGGTTGAACGTGTTTTTATGGTTTTGGGGCTATTTAAGGTGCATTATTTCCAAGGGTTTGTCATTTCTCAGCCTCCATTAACCCTAGAACATCCCTTGAGAGAAACCCTAGCCTTCTTTGGGTGTTATAAGCTTATCCTCTCTTATTGAACCATTTTTAGTGCTCATTTGAGGTGTTTTTGATGAAGGACTAAAGAAAGATGGTATTTAGGAGCTTGAAGCTTGAAGGTCCTTTCATTCTCTACACTTTTGTACCTTTGTAAGTCATAAAGATTCTTTCTTTATTGTATTTATCTTTGGATCTACGAGATAATGGTGTGTTGGTATTTTGGTTCATGTTTTGGTGTTTTAACCCCTTTGATGGTTTGATATTTGGAGTTTGGACAACTCCATGATATTTGAGTATTGTTGTACTTCATATCTAATGTTTTGACGGAGTAGAGAGTGCTTGCAAGAGCTCTCTTTACCATATTCATGAAAGAAAAATAGGATCTTCGACTTTTTGGAAACTTGGGTTTTAGATCTAGTTGGTTTGGGGTGTTCTAACAGATAAAGTTGGAAATTTTATCCATTAAGACATTAGTTGGATGAAGATATGAGAAGTGGAAGTCTGAACTTAAGGGTTTAAGTCAAAAAATAAGTGTTGAACAACGCTGGAAGTGTCGCGTCCTTTACAGGCGCGGGGTGTCTTTTGGGTTTTCTAAAGACGTGTCGGATTTGATCTAGGACTCAACTATTTTGTCCTATTGTAGACGCAAAGCACTTAGAGGGAGGCATAGGGTGCTTGTTGACAAGAATTTGACTTTTGACCTTTTGACTTTTTGACCAGTTTTATTTTTTGATAAATGTAACACCCGGATTCTTGAGATATATTTTATTTGCTGATTTGTGAGTTTGAGAAGGGGGGGGTTGCCGCCACATGGTGAAGGAACTGTTGGATTAGGTGTCTAAGCCCATAACTATAATTGGTATGTACTTGACCCCGAGAGTAGCATGGTCCATTTGGGTTGCCTTCACTAGAGCAATTTGATAGGATGGACTTTTGAGAAGAGGTTATTTATGATTTATTAATATATTATAAGTTCTAATATATAAATATGAATTCATGTTAGTTAATTAGTATTGATCAAGAATTAAATTTGGAATTAATTTAGTGATCAAAAGAGACTAATTAAATTAACGGGGACTGATTATGTAAATCAGTGATATATATATATATATATATATATATATATATATATATATATATATTGTTTGGGCTATTGATCCATGATGGGCTAAGTTTATGTAAGTATCCATGAAGGGTTAGGCCACATGAAATATGGATCATAACCCAAGTGTATGGATTAGGGTTTACCCATGACTCTTGGATTCCTACACTATATATATGACACCCCTTTGGCCTAAAATGTGTTGAACATGTATTCTTGGAGAAGCATAGCCGAATTTTAGTGCTCCATATTCTCTCTCAAAAGTCCTCCATTTGTTCATGGTGTTTGTGAACCATTTGAGGCATTACATTTGAGGTGCTAAGTTATGGGTTTTGAGCATTCTAACACTTCTATGGTGTACATGCAACCCTAGAAACCTTGGATCTATGTTTTCTCTAATATTCATGCAAATTTGATTTTCCAAGGTTCTCATCCTAACTAGCATGGCATGGGGTACTTGTAATATAAAAAAACTAGTAGAATGACATACCTTTCTTGTAGCTTGGATTCCTTACGACCTTGTGAGCCTAGCACCCCAAATGTGATGCCTCAAATGTTTCACACAACACCACAACTCTTGGAATAACTTGAGAGAAGAGCACTTTGATCACAAAATCGGCTAGCCCTCCTTGTCTTGTAATAGTGGCCGATTTTGCTCCATATGAGGTTGCTTATATAGTGTGTCACATGTAGGGTTACACCATGTAAACCCTAATGTGCATGGCTTTTCATTTCCCCCATGATCCATGGGTTTTAACCTCCATGGAGCATCCATGGAGCACCCAATGGGTCCTATCCCAATCTAGTGAATCATGAACCATAAGCCCACTACATAAGAATGAATGATTTACAAATCAATCCCCATATATTTAATTAGTCTCTTTTGATCACAAAATTAATTCCAAATTAATTCTTGATCAATACTAATTAAATAATATGATTTCATATTAATATATTAGAATATATTAACAAATCATAGGTGTCATTTTTCTCATTTTGTCTATCCAATTGTTGAGATGCCGAGCAACCCAAATGGACCATGCCAAGCCGGGTCAAGTACATACCAAATATAGTTATGGACTTAGACACCTTATCCAAAAGTCTCCCACTTGGATAAGTCTAATAACTATAGTTGCAAGTATGACTTCAGGAACCGACCAGCAATCGTAGCTCTTTCAAAGTCTCGCGGAACTAAGATGATGATGCGCCATTTAAGATAAGTGATCATATAATCCTCTGTTCTAGATATCAGCTGGACAAACACATGGAAAATTGTCGTACTTATTGTCTAGCAGTTTGTTTCCCGATTTCCAATTTGTTTGACATAGAACTAAACTGAACACATCAATTTGGTTCTGACCGTGCCCGGTACATAGGTCAAAACAAAATCATCGAGGGGCCCAGATATCTCTTTTAATCCTCCAAGGACTAAAAGGAACATATAAAATTCGACTCATATGCTTGTACCTAACCACTTGTTGAATCATACACAAAAGCACGTTTTATAACATCGAGTTACCGATGCGTTTTCGTACAATCAATGCACAACCAACTCATAATCAACAACTCATATATCTAGTTTTGATGACTTATATGATATTACCGTCTCACGATCACTCGAGATAAATTCCATGAAGTGATACAAGCGAGCGTGGGTTGAATCCAATACTCATAACTTATGAGCACTCATGAATGTTGTAGCAACCATTTGCTATGTCTAACATCTTAGACATCTACAAGCCCAATTCATGACAGTCTTGATTCATATCTACTTCCAACATATGACTGATTGTGGAGAGTTTGAATAAAGTAATTATTCTGGAAGTCAAAACATGCAAAATTGAAACAATAGTAAATAATTGACACAAGATAGCAACACCTTACTTATAAATAAACAACAACTTTTATTTAATCACCAAATGTCAATTTACATTTTACAAGTTCCAGAAATAGCTATCTAATCTGTAAAACTAATATCATCCTTCAGCTCGATGCGCCTCGCATGCTGCAAATGCTTAACCCTACACAGTCCCTTCATGAGGGGATCTGCTGGGTTCTCATCCGATGATACCATCCTCACCACGAGGAGTCCTTCTTCTATCCGATGTCTAATGAAGTGGTATTTTCTGTCGATCTTCCTGGATCTGCCGTGATCCCTTGGTTCCTTAGCTAAGGCAACTGCACCCTCGTTGTCACAGAAAATTTCCATAGGCTCCTTAATAGCTGATACAACTCCAAGGTCTCCAATGAAGTTCTTTAGCCATATAGCCTCCTTTTCCTCCTCGCTTGCTGCTATGTACTCTGATTCGCAAGTTGAATCAGCTACTGTTTCCTGCTTGGAACTTTTCCAAGTAATTGCTCCTCCATTTAGGGTAAATACCCAGCCCGAATGAGAGAGGATATTTTCCCTATCAGTATGGAAGCCAACATCACTATACCCCACTACTCTCAAGTCATCACTCCCACCAAGGGTAAGGACCCAGTCCCTAGTCCTTCGTAGGTACTTGAGAATATTCTTCACCGCAGTCCAGTGAGCCTTGCCCGGATTCCCTTGATATCTGCTGACCATGCTCAAAGCAAAGGCCACATGAGGACGAGTACAAGTCATAGCATACATGATCGAGCCTACAACGGAAGCATACAGTACTCGACTCATCTCAGCTATATTGGCCTCTATACTCGGGCTCTGAGTCTTACTCAGTTTGGTGTTAGTCTGGATTGGTAAGTCACCTTTCTTGGAATCCTGTATGCTGAACCTTTTCATCACCTTATCCAAGTAGGTACTTTGACTAAGTCCAATTAGTCTCCTACTCCTTTCTCTCAATATCCTTATCCCTAGGATATAGGCAAGCTTCTCCAAGGTCCTTCTATAGCGAAACAAACTCCCAAGCCAGGACTTAACTTCCTACAAGGTTGGGATGTCATTTCCTATGAGTAGTATGCCATCCACATACAATACCAAAAAGCTAACTATACTCCCACTAGCCTTAACATATACACCGGACTCATCTTCGCTCCTCGAAAAACCAAACTCTTTGACTTTCTCATCGAAACAAAGATTCCATCTGCGAGATGCTTGTTTCAATCCATAGATGGATTTCTCAAGCTTACACACTCTATTAGGGTGCTTTGCATCGACAAAACCCTCTGGTTGACTCATGTAAACATCCTCAGCCAACTTTCCATTAAGGAAAGCGGTTTTGACATCCATTTGCCATATTTCATAATCATGAAATGCAGCTGTGGATAGAAAAACCCTAATAGACTTAATCTCCGCTAATGGTGAGAAGGTTGTTGGATTAATGTCTAAGTCCATAACTATAATTGGTAAGACTTGACCCGACCCGGCATGGTCCATTTGGGTTGCATGGCATCATGCATTTGGATAGACTATAATGAGAGAAATAACACTTAAGGTTGGTTAATATATTATAAGTTCTAATATATTAATAAGGTTATTTAATTAGTATTGATCAAGAATTAATTTGGAATTAATTAAGTGATCAAAAGGAGACTAATTAAATATATGGGTTGATTGTGTAAATCATTCATTCTTATATATGTGGGCTTGTGATCCAAGATCCTTATGTTGGACTAAGTCCATGGGGTGACCCATGGATACTCCATGGAGGTTAAAATCCATGGAGCATAAGGAATGGGTAAAGTTATGAGTTACATGGTGTAACCCTAATAGCCACCATATAAAAGAATCCCATGGCTCAAGAAATCGTGCACTAATGTGTGAGTGTGAGGGCTAGACGATTTCAAGGAGTGTTCAAGTTTCTCTCAAGTTATTCCAAGTGTATTTGGTGTTGTGTGAACCATTTGAGGTGTCACACTTGGGGCACTAGGCACTCAAGCTTCATGAAGACATTCTACATCAAAGAGGTATGTATTCTATCTTGTTATATTATGATTTTGTATGCTAGATTAGGATAATACCTTGGATGTTCATAATTGTATGTATAATAGAGAAAACATAGATCCAAGGTATTTAGGGTTGCATGTACACTTAGGAGTGTTAGAATGCTCATAACCCAACAGTGGTATCAGAGCCTAGGCTTGTTTTCTTGTTATACTACTTGCAAAAGTAGCTGAAAAATCGAGTTGGATGCATATATTCGATTGTTTTGGCTGGAATTGGACTAGGAACATTACCCTAAGATGTTTTTGGACTTATAAACTGTTTTTGATGTGGTAATGTTCATGCTAATCCAATTTCTAAGATAATTGTCATAATTCAAGATTTGTATTAGTTTGTATGTTCATGCTAATTTCTTGAAGATTGATGATTTGAATTATCTTGTTCTTATGAGGTTCTTAGATTAATAGAAAAGTGTGTGAAAATAGTTGTTTTCAATCCATTTTAATCTAAGAGTTGATTCCAAAGTGTGTTTTTGTAACTTGTCCTCAAGTTATATGAAAAGTCACATTTAAGAATCATAAAAGTCATAAAAGTTGGCAAAGGTTACAAAATGAAGAGTCTCTTCATTAAATTAAAAAAAAAGTGTAACCTTAATTAGTTCCATAAGTTACAATAAAAAAAGGTTATTTTTTTATTAATTAGTTTAAAATCTTCCATAACTTGTCCTCAAGTTAGGGGAACTTGAAGATTTTTTTTTTTTTTTTTTTTTGTTTTTTTTTTTTTAAATTAAAACTACTTTAAACTCATAAGTTATGGAATTAATTAGTTTTGAATAGTTTCAAAACTTGCCCTCAAGTTTTGGAATTTGAAAAGTTTTCACTTATGAATACTTTAATTCCAAGTTAGCCCTTAGAATTTTAAAAGTTAAATTTCAACCCTTATACTTTATAATATTATAAGTTAATAATATTTATATATATGTATAAGAGTAAAGTCAGTCTTACCGTTAGTAGGCCTCATTCACGAAGCCGGTCTATAAGGGGGGTATAAGGTTACTGCCTATAAAATGGCAGTTTAATGGGTGTCCACTCTCACCCACCGCTTCTTGACTGGTGGAGGGTCGTTAGCCGAACGGGTAGGACAAGGACTATAATTCTCCTTTCATTAAAAGTATTAATGATAAATACTAAGTAACTAAACTCTTATTAATACCCAATCTTAGTTACTTAGGAAATGTGAATTTGGTGCTAACCCATGAAATTACACTTTGCACTTTGCTTAAGTCGTTAGTGGAGCGTGTGTGGTTAACCGCACACTAACCTGGACTTAACAAGGTAGGCAAAGGGTAACTTAATATTTATCATAGTATCGGTGGAGCGTGTGTGGTTAACCGGCACACGGATTAAGGGGTAAATTTAGGGTACCAAGTATATTTGCATGGTTATTCACACCTTGTTTTGTGATCCTCGCATCCCAGTCACAAAACCTGAAGGGCACACTCGAGATTGAAACATGCCTTTGAACAGTTCAATGAATCTCAAAGATCTAGGACTTTCAATCCAATTAAAACCTAATAAATTATTTCGTTTTTCATGGTGGAAATTGGTGAATCGTCATTCATCTACCTTCAAATATTTTATAGCTTGGATTACGGCATCCCTCTTCTAAGTTATAAAATAGTTTGTTGGGTCCTAGCCTTAATATTTCATATTGGGTGTCATATTAAGGACTTTAATCAACTAACTATCTTGAATATCTCCCAAAAAGATGTCTGGTCTAGACATTTATGATCTTCCAAATCTCTGAAACAAGCTTTCCTAAATGAAGATGATGTCCCATGGATTCATATTCTTTCACCTCCTCCAATTATTCTCCCTAACCCACAAGTTCCTAAAAGTTTAAGGTCACTCAAGCTATTGGAAA